CTCCTGGGCTCAAGCAGTCCTTCCACTTCCACTGCAGCCTCCCAAGTCTACCACACCCAGCTAATTTTTGTATTCTTTTTGTAGAGACAGGGTTTCACCATGTTGCCCAGGCTGGTCTCAAATTCCTGAGCTCAAGCAATCCACCCACCTCAGCCTCCCAAAGTGATGGGATTACAAGCAGGAGACACCACACCCAGCAGATTTTTATTGTTAAGGTATCTGGAAGGCATGATCATCCCTTGACATGTTTATAAGGAATATACACTATCAGCCAAGACGCCAGTAAGAATTGCCAAAGGCACAGCAGCTCACCACCTGTTATCCCAGTACTTAGGAGGGTGAGACCAGGGGTTTGAGAACAGACTGGGCAATATAGCAAGACCCATTTCTAAAAAAAAAAAAAAAAAATTAACAGAGCGTGGTTGTGTGTCCCGGTAGTACCAGCTACTCTGGAGGCTAAGATGGGAGGATCACTTGAGCCGAGGATTTCGAGGCTGCAGTGAGCTATGATCATGCCATTGCGTTCCATTGTGGGTGGCAGAGTGAGACCCTGTTTCAAAAAAATAAAAAACAAAAAAATTGCCAAAGGAATTTTGAAAGCTTTAAAGAAAAATTTTCAAAGAAATAAGATTTCCTTTCCAAAATTAAAAATTAAGATCTGTATTTTGAATCTGGGAAATATATAAAAATGCAAAACAATTTTTGTTTGCTAATATTTCAAATGCTTAGCAAACCCACGCTTTGCTAAGCAAACAAGGACGGGTTTGTGTTTTCTTTCCTGAGGACTATGTCATTTTATGTTAACCAGTCAGTTTTGCAGAGATCGGTAGGGCCAAAAGCACTGAACTAAAGTCTTAAATTGGGGAGTCACTTGTCATTCAGAGGTTTGGTTTTTTTTGAGACAGAGTCTAGCTCTGTCACCAGGCTGGAGTGCAGTGGTGCTATCTCAGCTCATTCACCGCAACCTCCGCCTCCTGGGTTCAAGCAATTCTCCTGCCTCAGCCTCCTGAGTAGCTGTGATTACAGGCACCCGCTGCCATGCCCAGCTAATTTTTGTACTTTTAGTAGAGACGGGTTTTCACCATGTTGGCCAGGATGGTCTCCATCTCCTGACCTTGTGATCCCCCCACCTTGGCTTCCCAAAGTGTTGGGATTGTACTGGCGTGAGCCACTGTGATCGGACCATTCAGAGGTTTTCAAAAGGTTTATGGATTAGATGTGCAAATCTTAAAAGCGCGGGATTGAAAATGACCTAGCTACCACGTTTGGCCATTCTGCAGCCAGGATTTCTGGTGTCATGAAATGCAAAAGTGTAAACGATTGGCTTCGAGAACATGATGTCACCCACTGTGATTCTGCATTTAGAAACTCTTAACTCTTACCTTTCTGAGCAGTGTGTTTGGTAGCTTTCTGATCTTCTCCACTTGTTCTGGGTTAATCCCCAGTTCACAGCAACTCACTTTTAGTAGGTTTTGGTAACTCAGTTCTTGCCTCTTCAGTTCAATTTCAATGAAGTCATTTTCTTTGGGGTTCTGAATTCTGACTTTAAGCACAAGCTCTAAATCACCCATAAATTCAAATACAATTTGTAAAGGAAACAAAATACCCGTTAGAGATTTTCATATCTATTATTATGGCATAAATAATCCTAAAAACTGAATGTTAAGTAGACATGGAGCTTTCACGGGCACATACACACTTTGCATTAGCTGAGGCTTCTTTTCTTGGAATGTTGGGCAAGCTCCAGGATGTATGCCCCCATTATATCCACTGAAAACAGAAAGCTTGCAGGTTTAAGCCAGCCAAGGATTTAAAATATGCAATGGATATTTAAACACATCACCCTTGGGCAATACATAGCAGGCATCCATACCTTATCTGGTAAGCTTCAGGGAAATGTATAGCCCTGGGGGCCCTGGTGTCCTTAAAGAAGCTACTGTGCAGAGGAGCAAATAGCTCTTGAGATTCCTACCCACCACCCCCACTCCTCCAGAAATAGGATAATTCTAGCATCTTTTAGGACAATGGCATTGTATTCCAACTTAACTGTCCTGAGAAGATACAGTATGAACTAAAAGTCCAAATAGAAACCAGAATGTCAGTTTGGCTTTGCTACATGGTCACGTAGGGGCTGAGTCTTCACCTAGACAGATGTCGTTGGGTTTCCTGTTATCACTTGGATCCATTGGCAAGTGTGGATTTGTGCCTTGTTGTTTATATTCACTGGTGAAAGAATCAGGAGAGAGCTGAGAAGGAGCAGTACCTCACCAGTTGGCTGTCCGCCAGACAAAGGACAAGGATGCCCCACTTCCATTTCCTGCCCTGCAGCTTATCCTCCCCTTCTCAAGGGGAAAGGCAAGTCAGGAAAAGGGCAGTAATGACTTTCAGTCTTGAAGAGTAATTTTCTTTAATCACCACCCAAATCATGAAAAGGAGCTGAGACAGTATTTTTAAATGGTGCGTAATCTGGGGAAGAAATATTTATAATCTCTGTGCTTAGCTCAAGTTTTTACTTAAATATTTTTGGCACAGAGTGCTTTATGTCTTCAGTTCTCTAGCAGAGATACACAGTGAGGAGGGTGCCTTTATAAGGAGAAATTTTCTCACCCAGAGGGAAGGGAAAGGAGTGAATATTTAAAGCGCTTTGCATATGCCAGGCCTTTTGCGTACTTCTTTCTTTCTTACAATATCCACTGAACATGTTGAAAGCCTGCTTTGCACCAGGCACTGGGCTAAGGCCTGGGGAAATAATATTCAAAAATCCCAAAGATGTCTGTGTCCTCCTGGAGTTTGCAGGTTAGTAGAAGAGACAGATGTTAATAAATGGGAAATCACAGTTGTGGGGGGGCATGATGAATGTGCAATACACAATACTTTGAAAGCATGTTAGGGGTCAAGGGAGGCCTCCGTGAAGGTTGATTATTGGAGCTGACATCTGAAGGATGAATAGGCTTAACTAGATCCAGAGGGCAGAGGAGGTGAAGAGCTTTTCACAGGACCCTGTGGAGAGTTCAGGATGGCTGCAGGGCAGAGAGCATAGGGGTACTGAGTGTCAGACAGGCTGGCAGGGGCCAGTTAGTCCAATTACGTAGCCCCTTGTCACATGAGATAAGATACGCAATAAGGTAAAATATACCCTGGATTTTGGAGGCAATAAAAAATTTTCATACTTATATGTTGATGTAATGATTTGTATATAGTGGGCGAAGTATATTATTAAAATTAGTTTCACCTGTTTTTACTTTTTAAAACGTGGCTACTAGCAATTTTAAATTACATATGTGACTTGCGTTACATTTCTATTGGGCAGCATTGGTCTAGACGGAAGGTTTTGGTCTTTGTCTTAAAACACCACCAGGCCATTCTAGTTTTTAGCAGAGAGCTGTCATAATCAGACTTGAATTCTGGAAAAGAGAAAATCCTCACTGTCCGCAAAAGAATCTTGTGGGGTATGGACATTATTATTTTCATTTTCAGACAGGAAAATTGAGGCTGAAAGGGGAAGTAATTTGTTCAGGTTGGTAAATGGCCAGACATGGATGTGACCAGGGCCAACTACATAATTTGCAGAGCCGAGTGCAAAAGGAAAATGAAGAGGAAACCAGTTTCCCCTTCTCACAGCCGCTGCTGTAACCCAGGGCAAATGGGTGACGCCCAAGGTATTGCGACCTCCCCACTGGAACGCGCCAACTAGCTGGATGGGGGTGGGTGAGTGTGTCCAGGGCTGCCTGCCACTCCTCAACTTCTGATCCTTGTTTTGCCTGGGCAAAGGTGACAGCAGAATGAGGGACTCTGGCAGAGGGTTATAGCAGTGGTGGGGCTGGTCTGGGTGTGGAGACCATACGCATGAGCTGAGGCTCCAACTCCCAACCCTGGCACATGCTCCATTGTCCCATCTGACTCCACTCACAAAACACATTCAAGGCTAAAATTATGATACATTTCAAGTCAACAACCACAGAATGTTGAACCCCAAGCCAGGGCCTTTCTGAATGCAAGGCCCTGGGCAACTGCACTGATTATAGCCTTATGAAGTCAGCCCTGTTTGTGCCACCCTGACAAATGCCTCCAAGGAGATGAGACGCTCCTGCCCAACTCAGCCCCTTCCCAGAAGAGGAAGAGGAATAATGTCCCCTCCCCTAGTGAGCGGGGATCTGCAGTCTTCTCTTTGCCTTTCAGTGCTGGACCCTGGAGGTGGCTCAGGGCTGTGGCCCCTTCTCAGGCAGCCCCTGTAGCAGCTGGGCCGCAGCCCACCTGCCAGTACCTGACCTGATACCGATACCTGATACAGATACCAGTACCTGACCTGAAACGAGGCCTTCCTGCCTCACTGCTAACTCACCCAACACACAGCCCGAGAACTTTCCCTGCCCCCTCCACTAGGTTTGAAAGCATTTTATTCTGTGATCAGTGTCCAGCTCTGTGAATGGACAGGGGTCTCATAGAGATCACAAAGCACGCCCTTTGCACTCAGGCAGATTTGGGTCTGAATTCCTCTGCCACTTGGCAAATTTGATACCTTGGGCAAGTTATATACCCTCTCTGATCTGAAAATGGGGTTAACCATACTACCTCACCAGATTGTAAGAAGTCGATGACAAAGTATACAGAAGGTACAACTTCCTAGCAGTGGTAAGCACCAGTAATTGCCGGCTGCTATTATTTATTGTCGCTATAGACACTTGCTTCCTTCTGAAAGGACCTTTGGTCTAGTTGCTCTGCTTTTCACTACCCCACTGGCAGAGTGGGGGAGGACGCGGGGCACTGCTGGAAACAGCCTCACTCCTGTCCCAGCCTTCCCCAGCCCCCTGCCCCATCCTCCTTGAGGACCATGTTGGGAACAGGACTCCCAGACTCACCTGCTGGCTTCTCCCCGATATCCTGTTCCGGTTCAGCCATGAGTCACCTCTGTAGTCCGTCAGATGTGCAGCCCCTCTCGCATTTATGCACAAGCTCCCAACCAAATAAAAAGCACTTTCTACAGCCTCAGCACACCTGTCTGCAAGGCAACAACAGTGTGTTCTTGCCAGCCCAGTGAGATAGCGCAGGGTCATTTTTATTTTATAGACAGGGAAAAGGAGGCTCCAGTGTGTGGCATGATTTGCACAGGGTGAGGCCAGTGAAGGAAGGTACTGAAGTTCAAGGCTCCAGACTCCCTTCTTGGGCTGTCTCCACTGGAAGATGGTGCAAACCAGTAGTACCCACCCAAGGGAATGGTGCCCTTCAGAGGGGAGGCCTGAGAGGCACAGCAGGCACCCAGCCAGACCCGAGAAGGAGGCCAGGACCTCCTTGGAAAAGGTTGGTAGCTTCTTCATCAGGGATAAGAAAAACCGAACACTTTGTTTCTTGGTTTGAATGGAATCTTCCTCCCCATTTCGCTGTCTTTTCTCCCAGCCCCTTCCTCAGCAGCTGTGCATGACAAGAAAGAAGCAGAAAGACCCTTCCATACCTGGGAAAATGACCTTGTTGATGATCCTGGATCCCCTGATTCTAGACATGAAAATGGAGGAGGCAGAAGCTGGAGCAGGAGGTTCACTGAAGAACGGGTGGGGCCGGTCAAAGTCCCCAGTGAGGCTGCTGCCTCAAAGGCAGCCTGAAGACAGGAGGAGGTGCACAGATAGGAACCCAGATGTTCGGGTGACACTCACATTTCATTTAACCCTCCAATGACAAAAGACGGGCAAACAGACGGGGCATCAGGGTGGGCCTCAGCATCAAAAAACTAGAGGGAGCTGGCTGGGCGTGGTGGCTCACGCCAGTAATCCTAGCACTTTGGGAGGCTGAGGTGGGTGGATTGCTGGAACTCAGGAGTTCGAGACTAGCCTGGGCAACTCGGTGAAACCCCGTCTCTACTAAAATACAAAAAATTAGCTGGGCGTGGTGGCGTGCGCCTATAATCCCAGCTACTCAGGAGCCTGAGACAGGAGAATCACTTGAACCTGGGAGGCAGATGTTGCAGTGAGCCGAGATTGTGCCATTGCACTCCAGCCTGGGCAACAAGAGCGAAACTGTCTCTACAACAACAAAAAAAACACCAAAAAAACCCCCCCAAACAAAAAAAAAAAAACACCAAAAAAACCCCCCCAAACAACAACAAAACAAAACAAAACAAAACAAAAAAAGCCGGAGGCAGCTATGGAGATCGTAGCCCACCGGCTCTCAAACGTGGTGTGCATTGAAGTCACCTGGGAAGCTTTAAAAACTGTGGATACCCAGGTCCCACCCTATAAAGAGTCTGATTTAGTTGGTCTGGATGCAATCAGAGCCCCAGAACCTTCAAAAGGTTCCCAGCTGATTTCAATGTGCATCCAAGACTGTGAGCCACTGATTTGCCCAAACTGCTTAAAGGAGCAAACAGGGAAACTGAGGCCTTAGGAAGTGAAATATTTACCACTAGTCACGTGGCCAGTCAGGCACAGGCCTGGCACCGGACCTGGGTCACCTGGCTGCCAGGCTGACGCTGTCTTCCCAGCACGCTGGTGTGTCTTTCTGCAAGAACAGGGGAAGGGTGGGGTGGGGCAATGGAGAGGCGGAAGAAGCAGGGATCCCCTGGCCTGAACTCTGAGAAAATGCACTTTGGCCAGCCTGGCTGCCTGGGTGTGGTCAGCCATAAAAAAGGCATCCTGGGCCTCCTCCCCTGAGTGGGTGCGGCTACAGGTGCAGGGAAACTGTAGATGAAAAGGTCTGGCACTTGAGGGGAAGCCTCAGTTCATTCTCACTTTGCTCACCTGTTCAGTCCATTCATTCACTCCCCGTTCACTGATTCACTCATTCACTCACATGTTCACTCAACAACACTCATTTTTTTCTTATTTAGGGGAACACACTTTCTTCTTTTAATTTATTTTATTTTTTGAGAAGGAGTTTCGCTCTTGTTGCCCGGGCTGGAGTGCAATGACGGGATCTCAGCTCACTGCAAACTCCATCTCCCAGGTTCAAGCAATTCTCCTGCCTCCGCCTCCCTATAAATAGCTGGGATTACAGGTGTGTGCCACCATGCCCAGCTAATTTTTGTTTTTTTTTAGTAGAGATGGGGTTTTGCTATGTTGGCCAGGCTGGTCTTGAACTCCTGACCGCAGGTGATCCACCTGCCTCGGCCTCCTCAAGTGCTGGGATTACAGGTGTGAGCCACCGTGCCTGGCCTTTTAATGAATTTTAATGTTTAAAATTAAAGTATTACATGTTCTAGTTTAAAAAAAAATCTATTGGTACTAAAAATCAAGGTAGATTAGGAAGGAAGAAAGCAAAGTGTGTTGGGGGGGACAATCAACTGCCACACAGGCCTTGTCATATGACTTGTTCCATTCATTATGCTGGGCATTTAGTGGGCCCTTTTACCCATGTATTAGTTTTGCGTGTGTGTGAGCCTGTGAGAGGCAGCTTTTAATTCTGATATAATTTCAAACTTACAGAAAGTCGTGCCAGGAGTAGTGGCTCATGCCAAGGTGGGAGGATTGCTTGAGCCCAGGAATTCGAGACCAGCCTGGCCAACATGGTGAAACCCCATCTCTACAAAGAATAAAAAAAAGAAAGAGCTTTTCTTCCCATCCATTCATTCATTTATTATCATTGTGAACTCATGAATTCTTATTTTATTCAGTGGGTCATAATCCATCACTATCCTGATCTATTTTGATGCTTTAATCATCCCAACGTTGTCCAGCATTCTGTCCAGCAGCTGTTTCCCATATCCTTTGACATATCCCCATTATTTTGTGAGCACTTTCTTTTTTTATTTTATTTTTTAGTCAGAGTCTTGCTCTGTTGCCCAGGCTAGAGTGCTGTGGTGTGATCTCAGCTCACCGCAACCTCCGCCTCCTAGGTTCAAGCAATTCTCCTGGCTCAGCCTCCCGAGTAGCTGGAACTACAGGCATGCACCACCAGGGCCAGGTAATATATTTTGGTGTTTTTAGTAGAGAGGGAGTTTCACCATGTTCGTCAGGCTGGTCTCAAAATCCTGACCTCAAATGATCTGCCCTCCTTGGCCTCCTAACGTGTTGGGATTACAGGCGTGAGCCCCTTCACTCGGCCTGTGAGCGCTTTCTTATTTCCTGGTACATCAAGATGTTCTGGGTTCCACTGTACTTTCCCTGCCCCAGCCCTGCAATCAGGCCTTTCTTCAAGGAGCCAGGTTCTTTTCCATGAGGCACAGGTGTGATCATTCCCATGGAGATGTCAGTGTTTCTAGGCTGTTCCCGTGTGCAGAGCTAGGAGCACACATGCACACGTGCACATACGCACATAAACACATAAACGCATAAACGCGTGCATCTATTTCTGTATATAGATACATGTTTTAAAATCAATCTAATTTATTTAGTTTCCTCTTTTATGTGTGTGTGTGTATTTAAGAGAACAACTTCATATTTCCAGTTCCATTCCAACACCGAAGGGTTCTCCCTTGCTGGCTTGCTTGCCTTCTTTTCTTCCTCCCCCTTTCTCTTTCTTTCTATTTTAAACAGCAGAAATTTATTCTCTCACAGTTATAGAGGCCAGAAACCCAAGATCAAGATGTTGGCAGGGTTGATTCCTTCTGGAGGCTCTGAGAAAGAATCTGTTTCATGCCGCTCTCTTGTTCTGGTGGTTGCCAAAATCCTTGGTGTTACTGGCCTAGCTGTCTCCAGTTTCATATTGAAACTCTCTTCTCCCAAGGGTGAAATCTGGCTCCTAACGTCTTTGATACATTTACTCCTTTGCTCAGTCCAATACACAGAAAGTTTCAGAATTGTTCATTTGAAATATATTTAGGTTCATTGTTTCTGTTTGTATATGAGGAATTTTCCCAGTTGATTTTATTTATTTATTATTTATTTATTTATTTATTTATTTATTTATTTATTATTTAAGGCAGAATCTTATTCTGTTGCTCAGGCTGGAGTGCAGTGACGTGATCTCAGCTCACTATAACCTCCGCCTCCTGGGCTTAAGCAACTCTCGTGCTTCAGCCTCCTGAGTAGGTTGCACCACCATGCCCGGCTAATTTTTGTGTTTTTTGTACAGACAGGGTTTCGCCATGTTGACCAGGCTGGTCTCGAACTCCAGGTCTCAAGCAATCTGCCTGCCTCGGTCTCCCAAAGTGATGGGATTACAGACATGAGCCACTGTGCCTGGTCAATTTATTATTTCTTGAACATATTAATCATTAAATGGTTCTGTAGGTAGAGTCAAAACATTGATATTTTAAAAAGTGTCATTTTACTTTTTTATCCCTTCCGTTTCATCCCCATCTATTTATCCCCTGTAGGAAACTAATCTCACTCGTTTCTGACTTATCTGTTTTATGTTTCTTTTTGCAAAATTAAATAGATACGTTTTTGGCCGGGCGTGGTGGCTCACGCCTGTAATCCCAGCACTTTGGGAGGCCGAGGCGTGTAGATCACAAGGTCAGGAGTTCGAGACCAGCCTGGGCAAGATGGTGAAACCCCGGTTCTACTAAAAATACAAAAATTAGCCAGGCGCAGTGGCGGGCACCTCCCAGCTACTTGGGAGGCTAAGGCAGGAGAATCACTTGAACCCTGGAAGCGGAGGTTGTGGTGAGCTGAGGTCACGGCACTGCACTCTAGCCTGGGTGACAGAGCAAGGCTCTGTATCAAAACAAAAACAAAAACAAAAACAGTTTTTTTCTTATTCCTTTCTTACACAAAAGATACTACATATAGTCTTTTCTACTTTGCCTTTTTTTTCACAAAATAATATATCCCGGAAATCATTTCATATCAGTTCATAGAGACCTTTCTCACTTCTCTCATCCAATAGTGTGGTTATTCTGTAGTTTATTCAACAAATAGCCTATGTATAGGGATTTAGTATGTTTCTGATATTTTGCAATTACAAACAATGCTGCAATCAATACTCTTGTGTCTATGTGTTTTGTATTGTGTATCTTCTGGGTAAGTCCCTAGAAGTGGGATTGGTGAGTCAAAAAGCACAAGGCTGGGCGTGGTGGCTCACACCTGTAATCCCAGCACTTTGGGAGGCCGAGGTGGGGGGATCCCTTGAGGTCAGGAGTTCAAGACCAGTCTGGCCAACATGGTGAAACCCCATCTCTACTATAAATACAAAAATCAGCCCGGCGTGGTGGCGCATGCCTGTAATCCCAGCTGCTCGGGAAGCTGAGGCAGGAGAATTGCCTGAACCTGGGAGGCAGAGGTTGCAGTGAGCCAAGATAGAGTCACTGCACTCCAGCCTGGGCAACAGAGCAAGACTCCATCTCAAAAAAAAACAAAAACAAAAAAGAAAAAAAAAACAGTAAGCACATAGGTAGTTTTGTTAGACATTAAAAATTTTTCCTTCATGAAGTTTAACCATTCTGCATTCCCACTAGGCATGTGTGAGAGTGCCTGTTTCCCCAGAGCCTCACCAACAGTGAGTTGTCAAGCTTTGTATTTTTTGCCAATCAGATGGTAAGAGATAGTATGTAAAATGTGGGTTTGATTATTATCCAGGTGTGCTGAGACCAACAGATCCGGGGATGACTGGTAATGAAAAGATAAGTTTGTTGC